ATCAGCATAAACTGTTGGGCACTATGCTTACTATATGCGATATAGAGGTAAGATATAGAGTTGTAGATCTTACTATATCATATCATATAGGATGCTTTAAAACCAGATGTATTACCTAAAAGCTGTTTCAGTTCACAATATCCTGGGCAACCGACATAATTTACCTAATCCTTCATTTATCGTAGATATGCTATATATGCTATATTCTCTATATACATATATACATATACATATATATTTCGTCATGTAATCTTCTCTTAGCTGTCGCTCAAAAAATAGAGGGAGATTATAATAATATAAGCGAGAGAGTTTCTCCGCTAGAGATAGGTCAATTGTGTCCACATATGACACCCAGAGAAATACATACATGAACATTTATGCACATGTGTATGAATGTTTAGGAATGCGTGTAGATTCGATGGCTACTCGTATTACGGCTCTACTTCATGGCAGCTTTTGGGCACCTGAGCTGTGCCTCTATTTTTAGCTGCATGATGCCGACGACGCATTCACTTCAAAAGCTGTTAAAGCGAGCCACAAATTATAACTTAAGTTAAACCACACAGAAAAAAAAAACTGCCCACGTGTTGCGGTTTTTGATCCAAGCATTCGATTTAATTCGATTGGACTGAACCGCAGACGGAGTCTGGCTTCGAGGCTGGCGCCAATTTAAATCTTATGCAAACAGGTGACAATATACAAAAATACAAGATATATCACACATAAGAAACTACTAAATATCCCGTGCTTATGTCTGTGAAGACCTGAATGCAAGGTCTGTCAATGTAAACTAAGGGTTATCTGAGTGCATAGAGTGCAATGTTTCACCTATTTATAACGTACACAAACTAGCAATGTACAATACATACACACGTACATATATACTGTATGCAAAAGGCTGTATTTATTGGTTATACCGTTGGATGGGAATTGTGGAAATCCTTTTCTTCTAAATGGACTTATTATGGAATTCACTTATCTGCATCTCCCAAAGTCCCAGTTTAGTATTTGGAAAAGGTTTTACTGAGAAGTTTGGAGAAAAAATTCGTATATTCATTCGATGAATCTTCACATTAAATTGAAAGCTTCCATTTGTTGTGACATTCGAAAAATACCAATAATATGAAAATATCGATAATATGAAAGTCAAATGAGTTATCGGAGAAAGATGAGTTCGCAAGTCGAGTCTATCGTTTTAAGGATTACGAGTAGGTGTGCTCTACGTGACATGGCTACTATGTTTTGTGCAGCTCGAGAATGTATATACTTTATGACCTATGGCACTCCTCTCTCATTTTACATATA